CACGAGTAGAAAAGTAATCATGGTTCTCTTCACGCGTTTGGTGGAGTCAAACACGTAGCCAGCGCTTTCGAAGGTACACCCTTGATGTTTGCCCTGCCGATTGCGTGCTCTGCATTTTCCTCAGATACATCGATATATTCCGCCATTTTATCCCTAACCAAAATCCAATTTTCAGTATCCTCGAGGCTTTGGGGAGAAGATTATAACGATAATATCCTTTTATAATATAAAAATCTGTTGTGTAGTTATTGACAAAATGATTATTTTTCACAATTTGTATGTAAAGATCATCCAGACAATACGTATTATCTACAATACATATTCGTCTGGATGTTCTTTAAACACAAATTGTGAAAAATAATTATTTTGCTAATAACTATATACAATTATAGATACATTGCCAGTAAATCAGATACAAATTTAAGTACAAAATATGACTTATACTTATAAAAGTTATAGAGCAATATTATAACAGTAGGTACGCTGATAAGAGTGTGTCATGAATTCAAATACATGAATTATTCAACATTAAGAAATACGTCGTCAATTGCAATGACGTACAATCGTGGGGTTAGAGTTTCATATGTAGTATGCATATACGCACATAGACAGCCACTATGTTACGTGCTATTTCGTCTTTGCCAAAGTGGCTCCCTATCGCGAAGTTTGGGGCGTTGACGTTGATACGGCGGTGGGGTTTGAACGATCCCCCTGTGCAAAAGGCAGCCAAACGGTCCCTACTGCTTCAGCTTAATCTGTTTAATCTACCTAATCCGCTCCACGCCGATTCCGCACGCTGGCGCGAATGTAGTCCTTTATCTGTAGCACTCGAGTATAGTAATTCATGCGTTATGCGTTACCAGTCCCCAGAGCGTGATCACGGATTATCCCGGGGGAAAATTTGGATATATCCCACGATTTGAATGATATTTTTGAGCGGGCGAATTAGCGCTGTTGTACGAAGAAAGCATTTGCTAGTGACTGCATTAAATTCGCGAATTAAACATATAAGTTTTAAAAAAATATTTGAAAATATAAGACCATCTCTTGGTAATATGCGTTTTATCGATTACAATGGTGTTATTGTTTGTGACATTACAATATTGCGTAACTTTATTGCGATTTTTTTCTCGTGTCATCAATCTTTGCGAGAAATATGGACCCGACAGTAATCGACATCATGCTTCCGACACGTGTGTTTCCCTCTAATTCAATTTCTGACATTTAAATTAATTTAGGGCGCTGCACCATTTTCAGGTCGATTTAACTAATTCGCCTCACGATGATTTGGCTCACCACCATAAACCTCAATTTATCCATATCCGTAGTCGGTGACTCATACTCCAGCAGGTCCGTGCACACTAGCCTCAAGAGACACTAATTATCCTCACGTGGACAACCATACTCGAGGATAATTAACACGTCACGCGCCTATTAGCCGTTGCGTAAAATTGCGTTCGCCCGAGGTCAACATTATCAAGTGATAATTAATCGATTGGAATAAATATTAGCTACTTGTAAATGTTGACCACTGCAAGCATCTCTTGTTGTGTTTAAGAAAATATTATTCCATTAAAGTTATAATAATCTATTAGAAAGTATAATTAGATATAATTCAATGTTCTTAATAATTTAAAATATTGGTTTGATTGCTACTATTTATCTTAATTCATTAATAAAATTTATCTTAATGATGATATCTCTAGCATTTACTTGCCAATGTTATATATAAAAATCTGTCAGAATCTGATAAATTTACAATATATAATTAATTATAAGTTTAGAATATTTTTAAATCATATCAACTAAAATATTTTTTAAAAACTTATAAATCTTTGTCTAAAAAAATGTATTTCATGTAATATAATAATCGAAATACTCTATTTTTTATCATTATAATTACGGTAATGCATATTTTATATTATTATTTCTATCGAAGTAATTTTGGAGAAAACTTCGCAATGAGGACACTAGACTGATTGAGATTCCACACGATTAACTCCGATATATACATTTGTGTGCGTGTGTGTGTGTGTGTGTGTGTGTGTGTGTGTGTGTGTGTGTGTGTGTGTGTGTATAGATTGAATCTTTAATTTGCATATACTCGAAAGCATATATATTTGTGTATATTTTGCCACTTGAGAATAGCATTTACTGTGAACTTTCACGAAATTAATTTTAAATGATGAATCATGATTTTATTTTGCTGGGTGTAATTGGGTTAGCATGTAAATATGCCATCCTAAGAAAATATCTCGAGAAAATTAAATCTGTTATATTGTAATTTTTTAATTAAATTTTCCTTTTTCGCTCTAGTAACTTCCTTCTTTCTATTTAAAGACTAAATAAATTTAGTTTTTTCGCAGACATAGGTATGCTACGCCGCACCGCATCTTCCGCTGTAATTTTGGGTGCCTCCTATAATATAATAAATTTTGGTACGTTAAAATCATTTGTAGTTTTAAGGAATTTATGAGCTTTTGCTTCCACAATTTCTTAAATTAATAAATAATTATTAATTATGAGTTAAATTA